AATTTAGAATTTTAATAATTAATAATAATTTAATAATTAGGATGTTGTTTTTGATACGAAAATCGTGTTGAGCAACCTGTAAAATGTTTTTTCAATCTTAAATTTTTAAATTATGTTTTTTTATGCATTTAATAAATCTAGGTGATGTCTGTTAAAACTTATCGAGGTTACTTTATATTGCGCCACCCAACAAAATAAATACAACTTTTATAAAAGGGACTCCCAAAAAATGTTCACCACTAAAAGGTAGTAACAATTGTGGCCTGGTATATGAGGCTAAATGGGCTGCCAACATTTTTTAACAAAAAAGTTGAAATGACGCTCCTGGTCAATTATCGTCTATACTTGTCCCAACTATGCTATACTGTTCTTTTTAAGCTTTAATACGTGCNTACTTGTCCCAACTATGCTATACTGTTCTTTTTAAGCTTTAATACGTGCAAATAAAGATTTTTTAGTTTGTAAAGACCTTTTTACTCATCACTTTGAAAAAATGTGGACCTCCCTTGAAAATTTATATCTACGCCCCTGGGGAGTGGAATCAAATTTTGTTAGAGAAATTTCGTAGGATGAATATTCGGCGAGCACCTAGCGACAAAAATATTTCCGGACACATAAAATTTTAAAATGTGGGGTAATCGGAAAATACTAATAAAATAGTTGATGGCGAAATTACTTCAAAGTTTCCTCTCTACGGGAAATATATAACAAACTAGATCGATCGCCTGATAAGGCATCGTGTCCAATCACAGTCGTCATATATACATATATTTATATTCATTTTATGTTATATTAGTTCTTACACAGAATAATCAGAATGGACCAAAAATTTTGTTTACAAATTTTAAAGAACTAAATATTCTCAGTGTTGTGTAAGGTTTTTAAAAACTCATAATCAAAGTTTGGATATGGATGCTTAAAAGGAATATTATTTATTCCTTTTTTTATTTCTTTTCCTATATTATTGTTTACAGCAATTATTGGAAATTCTTCTATAATAATATTATCTAATTCACTAATATAATTTACAAACACATTAGGTGGAGTGTTTAAATTTCCATAAGTGGATATATTTTCATTATAGTAAGCCTTAAAATATGTAAAAAAAAGATTCATCTAACTTATTTTGAGATTTAGCATAACTAATACAAATACCACTATTATGTTTTTTTTAGTAATTTCTTAACTAGATAGTCACATACATAAGTAAGGGTATTTATAGCAGGAAAACTTAAATCATGGTTATCAGCCATATCAACATTAAAATGTTCAAATTATGAGTTTTTTCAGGATAAAATGCAATAAGACTGTTACACCACTTAAATTAGGAGGAACAACACCACTTAAATTAGTTAAAATTTCATTTGTCATTCAGACAATTTAAGCCCTTAGACTCTTTGAAAAAATTTTCTGGGTTAGAAAACATATAAGGTCTGAAATGAACATTAAAAACCATATAATACTTATTCAATGTATCAATTGATTTGTCTGACAAATCATTTCTGTTGCAATTTTGTAACTATTTTTTATAATTATTGAATAAATTTAAGATTTTTTAAGATACAAATATTATTTTTATTAATTTATGATAAAAAAACCTAACTAAGGAAAATCCTTTGGTTTTTTAAACATTTTATAATCATCATTTTTGGTAGCAATTCTTGAGTTAATGCAGTTTTTGATAACGCAAACATAAACTATTATATTAAATATAATATTATATAAAAGATGAAAAATTTATAAAATAAAATGACTAAAAGTAAAATTCTTGTAATATATATTTTCACTCAACCGATATTAGTTCTTATCATGACAACAAAATGATAATACCAATACCTACAATAAAATAGCTGCTACTTTTTGTTTACATATCGAAGTGTCCATAACCTGGTTCTTAGTAGAATGTTATCATTTCATGTTTAAGTTATTTATGAACATATTTTTTTTTAATTTGTATGAATATACCAAGAAAGAATAAATTATTCGGCATTAGTTTGTTTCGAAAATTGATAGCTTGATGCAAGTACATATTTTCTCACGGTTATTTATAATTTAAAATAGTTTTGGATTCAAACATTTATATTATACCTTTTTTATCTGAAAACTAATAAAATATAAATTAAACTTTATAGGAAGATTTTATTAAAAATGAAAAACTAGTAAAGGTACAAAAGTGGTAGTTAAAATCTTCAATGTAAAATAAATAATAGTTTTGTTATATTAGAGTAAATATAACTATAGTAATACTATGTTTCAAAATTGATTAGTATAAATGATATGAACTAAAAAATTATCTTTATTTGTAGATATTGGTTGATTATTTTTTATATTCATGAACGAAATGAAGAAGAATATAATAAATATTTTCCAAGAATGCATAATGTCTGTTATACCTAGGAACATAATTCGAAACTCTGTCACATACAGAAAATATGTATTGTCTGTAAATAATATCCAAATTCCAATACCAGAAAAAATTTATATGGTTGGATTTGGTAAAGCTGTATTGAGTATGGCTTTAGAGATGGAAAAAATTCTAGATGGTCATTTAAAAAAAGCTATATTAAGTGTACCTTTTGGGACTCGTGTAACTGTGAAAGATTCTGTAATTTCTGTGCTTGAAGGTGCCGAAAATAATATACCTGATCAAAATGCAGTTAATAATACTAATGATATTAAGAATTTTGTTAAAAGTTTAAATCCTAATGATGTTTTAATAGTTCTAATCTCAGGGGGCGGATCAGCTTTATTGTCTTCACCAACAGTTCCACTTTTAGATAAAATTTGTGCAGTAAATTTATTGGGATCTTGTGGGGCATCAATAAATCAATTGAATTCTGTCAGAAAAGCTTTATCAAATGTTAAAGGTGGGAGATTTATCAAATTTGTCAATAATGCTACTGTTGTTTCGTTAATTTTATCAGACATAATTGGAGATCCAATGAATGCTATTGCCAGTGGACCAACTGTTCTTAATGAAGACAGTAATGAAGTGCCACTTAAAATAATAAAAAATTTAAATGTTATAGATAAATTACCAAAAACTGTACTTGATGCTATATTAAAAAATAAAATAGATACTGATATAGATTTTACAAAAGTTCACAATATAATTGTTGGTAATAATAAAATTGCACTAAATACAGGAGTCAATAAGACAACTCAGTATGTTTCTGTATTACTTTCTGATTCTATACAAGGTAATGTTAAAGAAGTGTCCAAACTTTACTCAAATCTTATCAAATTTATTTGCAAATTGTACCTAAATGATGAAGATGTAAACTTGAAAAATTTACTCCTTAAAAATATTATAACTTTAAATTGTGAAATAAATCTTGATGATTTGTTGAATAAAGTGAAAAAAGCATCACAAAAAGGTTGTGGATTGTGTTTGTTTGGTGGTGGGGAAACTACAGTAATTTTAAAAGGAAATGGCATTGGAGGGAGAAATCAAGAGTTGGCTTTAAGAACATCAATAGATTTAGATGAAATTAATGAAAATAATTTTGATATAATGTTCTTTAGTGGAGGAACAGATGGAATTGATGGTCCGACTGATGCCTGTGGTGCTTTTGGATACCCAGATCTACTGAAAAAAGCTGTAACTGAAGGGCTAGACCCGTTGATGTACATTATAAATAATGATAGTTATACATTTTATTCTAAATTCAATAATGGTTTAGACCTCTTGAAAATTGGTCACACCGGCACAAATGTAATGGATTTACAAATTATTATCATTGATCCAAAAATAAAGTCGAATAAATAATTTAACTAGTTCATTGTACACGAATTTTAACCTAATTTAAAATAAATGTTTAAATTGTAAGTTATATTATTTTAGTATTTGAATTTATTAAAAATAATTTAATTTCACACCCTAAGTTGTTTTAGGTAGGAAAGACAAAAATTTGTGGAATCAATGTTTTATAAAGTAGTTATTATAAATTACTTCAAATTTTTCTTGAAAAGTTACACCGACACAAAAAAAAAAAGTTGTCTGTATTTTTGACTGGACCCACCGTGAACATTGTATCCTATAAAATTTGCATTCCACAAGAGTTCGAATTTGAGATTCATTAAAAATTCCTTATGATCGCTTGTGCCTGCAACCAGGGCACCTCCAAGTGGTGATGGTTGTCAACAGAACCATCTGGCAGAGTCCCTGGGTTAACATCAGTGTGCCGTCATGACAGGTACAAGTAATAAGTACTTTACGATGCAGGGAACTGTAAACCCAATATTTTCAAACTATTAAGTAAAATATAGTTGAGTTTTTTTTTTTTTAACAAAGACCGAACATAATCGTGCAAATTTCATTCCGTAGTATTTATTTGATTGAAAAATTTAACCAGTAATTTTAATTTGAATGAAAACTATCGAATAATTCACCCGGAAGTTCTATAGTCAAAAACTAGTTGTTGGATAATAACAATTGAATGATTACTTGATAGTTTTTTAAAAATTATTGGATATATCTGGTAATCAAAATATTTGATAATGTCCGTCTCTACCAGCAACACTAGTTATCACTGATAACAAATATGCCGGGATGAAACTTATCTAAAATAAATTAGGAATTTTAATAATTCTGAAAATTAAACTTGATTTGTTATTTAATTGTAACTTATGTTTACGAATTTAAAACTTAAAGTCTTCGTTTTTGCTAGGTTTTTATTAGTATATATTATTTATTTTTCTTTACAATGAATCAAGAAGGTAAAAATAGTAATCCACAATCATCAAAAACAGATAATTACGATGGTTGGGGTTTTGATTTATTCCCTGAGAGGAGAGGTAATTTTAAGCCGACTGTTAAAAATATTTTATTTGAAGGACGAGGAAATGAAAATTTTGAAAAAATTAAATGTGAAGGAAAAGTTAAATATTGCATAAATAATAGTGAGTACTTAAATTGTAATACCATGTTATTATTAAAAATTACTAGATAACATTTTTCTTAATTTTTGTCATTAATGATTTAATTTTAATGAATTTATCCATAATAGGTCCTTTAGTCAAAGTAATGTTTGGTGCTTTAAAGAAAGCAGGCTGGTGAGTACTATTGATTTTTATTTCATTTATAAATGTAATGGTGAAATTTTCTTTTATGGTTTTTCATATTTAAAAAATGTAATATTATCAGAGATTTTTTATGATTCAATTTTTTTTATATTCTTATTGATATTCTGTCTTAATATTATTTAAATTAAGTTTCATATTGTACATTACACAACTTATAAATATGACACGATACAGTGTTATTCTATGCCATATATTATGTTATCAATCTATATGAAATTGTATCAGAATCTGAAACATAAGTGCATGTTGATCTAGGGGTAAGGTTTTTCTCTATGATACCTTGAGTCGTAGGTTCTAATCCTGTACCATGTCTCTTTTTTTCACATAATTTCTAGATTTCAATGACTAGCCATCAATTCCCGGTGGCCATGTCAAATGTAATTAAATACACAGTAAGTTATTCTATTAAAAAATGAGATATTCAAACATACAAATATATGAAATAAATAAATATATAAAATAAGATATTCTTTATAATATGATGATTTAGTGAAGTAAACCCATCAAGGCATATAGCATGTGAACTTTGTGATACGACTGTTCATGGTGGCTATGATCCAATAATGAATCAAGTAATTTATTCTGTTTATTTTTATTGTAAAAAATTAATTTTTTGGCTAATTTTTAGGTGGTTATATGCCAAAACACAGCAACATCTAAAGGAACAATTCAAGGTGTACTTACTCATGAACTTATACACATGTTTGATAGTTGTACACGCAAATTAGACTTTCGAAATATTGAGCATTTAGCATGTACTGAAATAAGAGCTGCAAATTTAACACATTGTGGAATTTTTTCATCAATGTTAGAGGGTCATTCATCTGTTTTTAACTTTAAGAAAAAACATCAAGTTAGTTTATTTTTGTTACCAATACTGGTTGTTAATTGGTAATACGAAAATGTTTTTCCGTTAAAGTAGGAAAATTGGTTATTTTAAACACAATTGAACCTTGTATCTCAACCATTTAACACTTCTATGTATTTTAATAAGGTATAATACATCACACTTTCAAAGATAAAAATAATAATTTAAGCTGGTTTAAAATTTCAGTAGTTTTTCTTAACAAGGGAAGCAAAATATTCAAAACAAGTTATATATAACTTTTATGAAAACTGGTGACCTCATCATTTTGGCCTTCCCTTGTAAAGAATTTTAAAATAAAAAATTTGCAGTTGTAATTTTTTTAAAAATTAATTACGATAAAAATAGTAAAAATAAAAAATGTACACAAAGAAAGTATTAAATTTAATTTTTTTGATGGAGATTGTAGTCCTCCAAATGGTTTATTTACAACTTTAAAAAACTTAAAAAATACAAAAAAAACTTACCCTTCTTAAAAGAGACAACGGAGTATACAGTAATTTCTTAATAATACTTTTAAATAAGTTTTTGTATAACAATTTATCTACATTGTGTAATTTTTATACTCAAATTGTTCTTTTTTTTTAACTGTGATATTTGTTTTTACCATAATGACATTTATAAAGGTCAAAAAAAATTTTTCAAATTAAAGTTTATTACATAAGTTTTAATTTAAGATATATATGAGGCGCATAGATCCAAAACAGCCTAACCCACAAAATTCAAATTCTGTTTATATAATATTTGAAATCCACTATGGTCTATCCCACAAAAAAAATGATTCACTAGATGGCATTACATAAATTGTTTTTGGCACTGTGATTACGAAATATAATTTCAGAACCTTAATGGCCCAACCCTATGCTAGTGGATTAGGCCATCTGAATTTTAGTGAGTTATATTGTTAAAAGCTATTTTTATTTTATTTTGTTTGGTTTAGTTATAATTATAGTACTGTTTATTAATATTATTCAATACTGAAGACTATTATGTGATAATAATGTTAAAAATTTATAAATACCAAATTTTCAAGTTAATCAAATTTATTAAAAGTAAAATATTATTAACTGAAATATTGTTACACACTATTAAAAGTGATTTTATTTTTTTGTTTCGTTAAGTTTAGTAATAATCTCATTGTTAATAATTATTCTGTACTAGAACTTAATTACAATATTATTTAAAAAAGTTACTAATAAACTAATACAATTATTTACATAATATTTTTATGTTGTGTGAATAAAAGTGAATAATAAATATCCTATAAGTTGGCCTAAACCACAGAAAACTCTATTAAATAAAAATTTTTCAAAATTTATAGTGGTCTTACCCACATCAAAAACTTAACCAATTTTAATTAACTAATACTTTATAGATGGTTTAAAAGGCAAGGATATATATATACTAATAAGTTATTGTTATTTTCCTTGGGGTGGGTTTTAAAAAAAAAAATATTGAAAATAATCAAAACTTTAAATGCCTGTTCTGCACAATTTCGCTTTTGTGGGTTAGGCTGTTTTGGCTCTATGTGCCTCATATATAAAAGTATTTTCAAAAGTTAAGTTGAAAAATATCTTCTTTTTATGTGTATTTTATGTTTAGAATTTCCTTTTATAAGAATCAATAAACAGATTTAAAAAAAAATGTGTCAAATGTAAATATTTTTCAAATACTTATAAAAAAAATTTTAATGCAAAAATATATGTTTTTTAAACTATGGAAGCTCATAAAGAGTTGCCTAGACAAAAGTTTTAAATTTAGCGTATGTAACTTAAGCTTTAATTTAAAATATTTTTGAAGTTAAGAGTATTTTGAGAACATTTTCAATAGTTATATTGAAAATGTTAACTTTTCATGCAAAAATTGCAATTTTCCATCCCTTTCCGGAGGGGCAAGTAAAGGGTCAAATTTATCAGACTAGTTTAAAAAAAAGTTGATAATATATATTATTACCTTTTGTTTTTTTAGGACTGTGTTAAACACAAAGCTACAGTATCTGTTTTAGCTGTTAGAGATGTAACATTAGAAGAAGCAAAAGCAGCTGTTGAAAAAGTTTTTGACAAGTGTTATGCAGATTTAGAACCCATTGGGCGTAGAGTTAAAGGAAGAAGAATTGATTATGATTTAGCTTACGCAGAAGCTTTTATGATGGGTTACGATTAATTATATTATAATGAAAACTGTTTGAATTAGAAATATTAAATAAATTTTAGAATAGTTTATATTATGAATTTTGTTATTAACTAATATAATTTAGTTTAAATTTTTTAATGATATCTAAGTTGGATATCTATATTAATGGTTTCTAAGTTTACAACATTTATTTGAAAACATAAGTTTTAAATACTATTTTAAACATTGATATTTTAATTGTTTAAAGTAATTACTTTTTTAATTGCTTACAATATTATACTGAAGATAACAGTTTTTAATTTTGACGTTTTTTAAAGACATTTTATTTAATATTTACTAGGGTGTGGTGTGGCATATTAGTACTGATAATTTGCACTGTTTGCTGTTAGTTTCTAGATGTGTAACTATATGGAAACTTTAACAGTAACACACACCCTTTACTAGTTCCCTACTCATAATGAGGTGGCGTCAGCTCGACAATTGATGTAAAAATTCTGTCAAATCATTGTAAGGTAATGCTGAGCTCAAATAATTGGAATAAAAGCTAATAATGTGATGATTATTTGTATGTTTACTATAAATCATCCTTTTATTGCAAAACATATCACTTTTTTATATTTTATTAGTTTTTTAAGTACAAATTATTTAGAATTGGATTACATTTTTAAAAAATGATCTCAATAAAATTTGGTACAATAATTATAATATAATTAATATACTAACTTTTGTAATTATTTGTTCATAATAAATAACAGTATTTAATAAAGTCTTATAAATAGTGAGTGTAATTAAATGATATAATAATAGAACATTAAAACTTATAGTTGTACTACAAATTAGTAAATAATAAATGTATCTGTATTTAATTAGCATATACATAATTATTTCAAACAATTGTAAGATAATAGATGTTAGTGTAATAATTGTGTATAGTTAAAGTATAATCTATAGTTAAAACTTCAATCAGGGATTGGAACATTCTTCTAAAAAATGAAATCAAAATCCAAAATAAACCCAACTCTAAAATTTAAAAATATAAGCAAAAAATGACATTAAATGAATATTCTATCAACCTTCTGAACTTTGTATTAAAGCTAAAAACCAATTAAAAATCTGTTTAAAACAAAAAATGTTTGCCAAGTTATATTTATAAAAAAACTGACTTCTTTAAATGGTCTTATCTCTTTTGAGTTGCAATTATCTATCAAAGGTGTTTAATGTTGAAATCCTTAACACCTCTAACATGTCATATGTATTTAAGAACAAATACATTTACTAGGTACACACTATACAGGTCCGATGAGCTTACAATTGAACATGTTCTTGAGCCAGGTGAAAAATAACAAAAAAAAAGATACTAAAATGTTTAATGGTATTCCCTCGATTGGTTTTAGGTTTTATCATTGATTATAATTAGTATTAAATTATAAATACTATTTGTAATAAATTGCAGTTAACATTAATCACTTTATTATCTATATTTGTGCATTAAATTCTCTAATATCAGTGATTTTGTCTCGTTCTATTTACTCTAAATGGCGATTATGTGATCTCTTATCACTAATTAGCACCTTAATTTAGTACATATATATGTGGATGAAATGGCGAGTAAACTCTGATAGCAATATTTAAAATATAACTTGTATCATTCAAATTTTTAAAATGAATATTTAAATTTATTTGGTTGTATTTTTCTTAATACGATTTATGATATTTTGTAGTTTTTTGTTAATTCTAAATAGTATTTCCCTTTTAAATCAGCATAATCGAACAAGTAATAAAGAAATATAATTCTAAATAGATGGTATTGCACTATTTTTAAAATTAAATGATATATTATTAAAAATAATATTACTATATTTCATTTATGAATTTATTAGGTGATCAAAATTATTTCTTAGAAAAAACATAGAATCTAAACATCAAAAATATGACTGACAAGAGCAACAATTTACCTCTTATTGATAAGTAAGTTTTTACTGAAAGAATAGATTTAGAGTTGTAAATTTTTTTGTCAAAAATATATTCTTTGTTTAATGTTTTATTTAATTTTTCATTAGAAAATAAGAGACATTTCAAAATAATATTTATGGATGATCATTTTACCTGATCTGTTTCGACTAGATACTAAAATAACATTTCTGTTGAATATTTTATTATTAATTTTAGTTTTTAGATTATGAGATATTATAAAATTGGTTCATTTTAGTAAATAAATTATAGAAATAATAATATTTGAACATACTCATTATACATTATTTCTTAATAGTAATGAAATTGTTTTAAAATATCTCATTCTAAAGATTCTATTTAACTAAATTTATAAGTTATGCATAGTAAATTGATTTATTATAAACAAATGCGAGTAAATCTAAAAAATAATTAATGATTTATAATTGATCAAATTTTTAAAAGAATAGAAAATGACCTGATTTTATTAAATCATAATAAATGGCTAACAAATAAAAGAAACACTCTGTATAATCAAAAGAAAGTTTAAATTTAAAATAACAATATTTCAGTGATTTTAAATGATTATCAAGAGTTTTGTATGAAAATATATATTAAATAAAAAATAAAAAAAATTATCCATCAACAACAATATTTACCTGAAGTTGAACAAAATGTTAATAGTTACAATGTATTACAATTAATTATATTAATGTACCAAACTCTTAATTGGGTAATAGTACTCAATTAATATTTTTAAATATACTTTACCTGGAATATTGTCCAAATTAACAACCTTACTTAGTGCATGCCTACTAATCAACAGACTGATTGTTTTAGATGGTGATTTTAATGTGAATTTATTTATTTTTAATTGAATAACCTTATTTTAATTCAATTAAGCTAATATATTAGAAACCATTGTTTTAGTATAAATATTTTTAAAAACCGGTTGAGGACCTTTGTTAGTTTTGTTCATGAATATAATAAATACTATTTGATCTATTTTATGTAAAATTCAGTCAAGATGAGGTTGATTATTAATTATTATGCATTGAATTTAAGAATGTTTAATTTAAATTAAAATAATGCTCTTATACTTGTAATTCAAACTTTAGTTTTTATACTGTTTTAACTTAAAAACATACATTTCCTAAATTAGGGCGGCGGTAAATATAAATAATAATTCAAGTATAGCTATGTATATTGATGGACTGAGTTTAAAAAGGATTCATATTGATACATTGATGTTTAATTGAATAGTATATTAACATATCTGAAATGGGAGTATAGATAAAAAGTGATAACGATAATGATGATCATTTATGTGTCATTTGTTATACTTTTATTAAAGATAACATTGAGATATCAATAAGAGTTGAAGTTGAAGAATTTAATAGTTATGTATTATTTATGTATATTTTTCCTTACCGCTGTATAATTTCAACTATAATTGTTAAAACAAGATGGATTAAATTTAATATAAAAGGGCACAAAACTGTCATTTCGGTTCACTCCTTCACTTTATGATCTTTCAACAAGTCCAAGAAGTGGCTTGGCATACATTATAAATTCATTAAAAAATTGTAGTATATTTATTTTCAACCTTGCTTATAACATCATGAAGATAAACTTACATTTCACAGAAGATTTCTAAGGATTAAATTTAAGTATAATGAGTACATAAATTGAGTGAGGAATCAGAAAAATTAAGTTATTACTAGAATAAAATAATATTTAAATAAATAAAATCGATAACAATTGTATGAAGTTAACCAGCTTAGTCCAATCTTTGAGTGGGTTTTCTTTGTGGTCAACACAAATATAGACTCTTGCGAAGATTGAGAACCCACTTGTGGTTCCTATATTACTTGGAATATTTATTGATTCTCACGGTTAGCACAAGCTTAGATTACAAGTGGCGTTATTAATACTTTAAGTGTGATAAATAATTACTATAATTTCTATTTAAAGTTATTGTTGTATTAATAAATGTTCAAGTATCACTTTGTTTTTCTATATTTTACATCTTCTCATAAAATCCTCGAGAGAAATTTAAATTTATTTCATTTTATTCAATAAATTCATAGTAACTCAATCATTTTCATTCTCGTACAAAACCACCACCCAAAAATAATCTATAATATATATACATATTTCGTTTTGAGTTAATTTACTGAACACGAGGCTTTATCATGCGATCCGGTTTTGTTATGTATTTTAGTCGATTTTTGAAATAATATCACAGTGATCCAAAGTCGAAAAATTCATATCATCCGATAATATTGTCAAATAGGTTGAAATATATGCTTTTGAGATAAATTTTTTAATTTAAGACCTATTTAGATCAGTTTTTTTTTTAATTGGATCAATTTTCACGTGACACGTCGATTTATATAATTTTGTAGTTTCAAATTTGGTATATATTTTAATGTGTGTTATAATAAGTTAGAAATCTTTCTCAATTAAATTTATCTGGGTTTAAAATATATGTTTATGTTTGATAGGAGCAATGTAATAGCATGGTAAAATTATAATTTAATAAACATTTATAGACGCTTTAATGACAATAAAGTCGTAGGGGCTTTAATGATCCACAGTTATAAATGCTCATAATATAATGATAAATAATAATATCAAAATAATGATAATATTATTTACCTGTATAAAAATACAAATCTGATATTTTAAACAAGATGTGTAGAAACAAGTTTAATAATGTAATATTAAGTATTTATGTTGAAAAACATATTAGAACTGTTCAATGTTTTATCTTAAATTTATTATTATACATTGTACCCGTCAGCTGCGAAATACTCAGTACTCATTTAAAATTTATGAAATTTTGTTCATGATATAGAAGTTAATGGTTAAAATTTGAATTTAGCAACCTCAAAAATACTCAAGCTGATATAAAACATCAGTGGCGTAATTAGTGGTTATTTTACAGGGGAAGAGGAATATACATAAGAAAAAATGTCAATACCCTTTACAAACGAAAAAATGTTACATCTCCTTATGATAATGCAGATAATTCTATTATAAGATAATTTGTAATTATTTTTGTCATATAGGGATTAACACCCATATTCTCTTCGTAATTGCGTCATAGCACTTCAGTTTAAAAATATATAAAATTTAATAGCGTAAAACAAAAATGATATATAATTTCTTTCAAGCGTTTCTAAAATTCAATTACACATTACACAGAAATGGGCAACTAATCCCAACGCCAAAATATAGTACGCAACTGGTACTTTAATGTATTATTAAATTTATTTATTTATTATTATTTCGGCGTGATGTTAAGTGAATAAACTTCTTAAAATTGTACCTTTCTAAAAATTTGATAAAAAATATTAAAACAAATATTTGACATAGTATATATACTATATATATGTATAGAGTGTACTTGTATATACTTTGGATATGATATATTTTCATGAAAATGATATCAATTTTTTGGTAAAAATTTTTAAATATAATACAAACACTAAAATTCGAAAAATAAATGAATACAAATACTATTTCAATGCATACATATTAAAAAGTATGTATATAAACATGAAAGTGAGAATTTTGATTTATGGCCTATTTCAAAATTAATACCACTTTACGGTACCTTATACTATTTTACACACATTTTCATGATTCTCCACTTAGTATTAAACATTTTTTATTCTAAAAACATGTCTTTCGCTAGTGCTCACTGCTAGCTAAATATTTTTCTTTTACGAAATTTTTGTAACAAAACCGAATTGCACTTCTCGTTTCCGCCGTCCTTGTATGTCTAGTCCCTTTAATTTTAGTTCTTTTTGAGGTTGATCATCTTAATGTATTCCGCATGCATTAAGATTGCACAAAGATTTAATTAGTTATTATGAAAATGAGTAAATTATATTTTCAAAGAACCTTAAATTAAAGATAATTATATTTTTGATATCTAAATATTTTTTTTTTTGAGCAGTATGACTCCTAACCTAGCACTTAATGTCAAAGGCTTTAATTAAAACAAAAAAATTGGACTAGAAAGTTAATTGTTTTTCTCGCCTCAAAAAATGTCTAATTATTTGGAAGTATTGCGATACAATTTATAAGATTTAGATCCAAAGCCCTCATCCTGATTTATGCTTATAATCACTGTAATATTTATTGTTTTTCTCAAATTTAATCTTAATTTAGATTAACGAAAAAATCACTAATTTAGGTTGTACAGAGAGATAAAAAAAAAGTTAGGAAATATGATCAATTGTTACAAACAATAAGGAAAATGAACACTCGTTTTCTTACTTATTGATCACTCTATATAGTGTATTCAGTAAGTAAGGAAACGGGTTTCTATTTTTTTCAATGCTTGTAACAATTAACCTGTCTCATTACTTACTTAACACCCTGTATATTAGTAACCCAAGCGTTGTTGCCTGTTGTTTATCATATGATCGATTATTATAATAGTAAAATTTAGGTATATTTTGACCTTACGAAAAATAGTCGTTCAAAAAGCTCGAGCTCTGTTGTACGTATACATAATTACTAAACGTTAATTGCAGACTAACAAGTTGTTTTTATAAATATAAATCTGTAAATGTACAGGTTACTGCAAATTTTTTATTATTAGATGGTTAGTAGAAAATTAGGTTGGGTTACTGTCTCAATCCTGATGTTGATTAATAATCAAGTTTCTATTGTAATTGAATACAGTTAAATTATTTACTTAGAGATATATTTATAAAAATGTATTATTATGTATTTTGCAATAAATTTAGAATGACTAAAAAGTTTTATTGTTTTAATAATTATTTCTAATCTAAAAATCTAAGTTTCTTTTTTATTTTATAACATAAGGTTTGACTGATACGGTCATTGGTCAAATTTAAATTGAAACGAAGTTTATTCATATTTTTTATTTAATTTTAGGTTAGATATTTAACTGATATTTTTAGTTTTCATTTTAAATTGAATTCATTTTTTGAAAATTAGGCGGATTATTATATAATATTTATTAAAAATATTTTAGATGTTTATATCTTGCTAATATACTTTGGAAATATAAACATTAATCAGTGTTGGGGTAATTAAACATCATATCAAAAATTTTCTCTTTTCAATTTTTTAAATTGTTCCAAAAAATACTATATTCTTTGCTGTAGGAATTAATAGCTATATTTTCCGGATTATGGTGGTAATAGTGTCAACTAGATTCGATTTGTGATCTTTTGACATAATGTAGAGCAAAATTGATTTAGGAGGAGCGGAGTATTCATATAAATACGATATAGTAAAACTATTACCTTTTTAGCTATCCGTTGAAGCTAAAAGCCAACGTAATGATTTCATTTTTGCTAACTAAATTAAAAATACAATATTATTTGTATTTTAGAAATACAAATAATTAAAAATCAAGTTTTGAATAAATAATGAAAAATAATTCATTTCATTAAATAAATGCAAAAAAAAATTACCAAGTGATCATTTATGTGTTTTTTGTTTCAGTATTACTAATGAAAGTATCGAGACGTTAATAAAAGTTGAAATCGACGAAATAAATAATGATGTATTTGAAAGCTTTATAGAAGTAGAAGCTAATCAAATTTATCCCCAGATATATCAAAATGGAGATCATGATAGTGAATCGATACAAACCAATGATTGTCAAACTATTTGGAATAAGAATGTATTAAAGAGTAATTTTGATACACATGTTGAAAATTTCCATCCTAAATTATGTTCCAATAGTGTTTTTCCTTCATTACAAAATATCAAAAACAAAGAAGCCGAATTACACCAATTAAATGATCATGCATCTCAAAGTAATAGAAAAATAGACTCAAGTCAAATCAATTTCCAAATGACTCCAAATAAACAACAAAAAGTAACAATCAAAACCTATGATTGTCAAATTTGTTCAAACAAATATGTGTTGAAGAGTAATCTTGATGCACATGTTCATCAATTTCATTCTGAAAAACGCATTAACGATGTATTGCCTTCAAATACAAAAACAATAAATTACATAAAAGATTACAAATGCAATGTGTGCCCAAAATCATATACTTCAAAGCAGGGTATTTCAAAACATATTAGAGAATATCATCCCGAGCTATGTATTAACAGTAATGTTCCTTTGGATTTAATTAGATCACAAAATGAGTTGAATCGTCAAGAACAATCTAGAGATAATGGAAAAATGTTTAAGTGTTTCAAATGCCCAAAAACGTATCCTCTGAAGAGTAGTCTTAATAGACATGTTCGGGAATATCATTCAGAAATATTTATTGAAGATGTATTTTCTACACAACAGAACGTAAAAAACAACGAAGCAAACATTCATATTGCAAAAAAAAAAATTATTGAATCAATAGAAAACGATAAGTCTGAAAAGAGTGGTGAGTTAAATAAGTGTGAAATATGTTCGCTAGTTTATGCTCGAAAAATTACATTTGACTCTCAAGAAGAGTTGGAGGAACACATTATGTTACAACACGATAAAAATAACAAACAAACATTAAAAGTTGTTCATAAATGTAATGTTTGTCTCAAAATTTTTTTGACTTATTCAGATTTAAAATTACATTCTCAATCGCATTTCGTTGAAAAACCTTACGAATGTAATATTTGCTCAAAAAGGTTTTCGTTCAATTTAGATTTAGTTAAACATAAAAAATCTCATGCAGAAGTAATTTTGAAAAAATGTGATATATGTGATGTAGAATATTTGTGCGAGGAGGATATGAAAAATCACCAGAAACTTCACAGTTCAGAAAAACCTTATAAATGTGACATATGCCAAAAAAGGTTTTTTTTTAACTTAGATTTGATAAAACACAAAAAAAAATGCATTCACAAAATTATCGTTATTTAACTTTTTAATCAACCACAAATATCATTAAATATCATGCAAATAATCCTTACAAATGTTATGTGTCTTGTGGATATTCTTAGGATTTTATATTGTCAAATTGTATCCTAAAATCAAATTATGGAAAATACCAGAAAACTCAACTAAATACTTTATAATATGTGATTCCTTCAAAATAATCAATCAAATTTGTTATTTAATAAAATATTTTTATGTAGTAATATTAAAATCTTAATGTATTAGTTATCTAAAATCATTTTTATGATATTATTTTAATAATATTCAAATGGTATCCTAAATGTTTAGTAATCTTTGATTAAATTGTTTTAGTCATAAACATTTCTATAGGTTTAATGAAAATTAAATTGTTTAACCCACCATTCCTCAAGGTTAGAAAAAAACTAATTTTATGTTTTCACTGCATTTTATTACTTTAGTATATACTCATATAGCAATTTATTAAGTATTCGCAACGTTGGGATTAACTATGTATATTATTTTGTGTGAATTTGTTCAAAAATCGTTTAAAAGTCATTTCATAACATAATTAAGAAAAAATAATTTTACAAATGTTTCGTTTACGCATCGTTGGGGACTAATGAATTAAATCACTAACAATTTAGTCTGAAATTACTTTAAAAACTTTATTGTAAAAAACATATTTGCTCGTAAATTTATACCCTTTTGTTTTTCATATGTATATTACAAAAATGTAATTAAATTATTAACTTATTATTGTGTTATATTTTAATAAATGGATGAAAAAATGGAATTTGTTCATCTTTAAATTTCTACTAGATTATTATAATTATATATTTTTAGACGCGTATTAATTATGTGTTATGCTCTAAAATTTTAGAACTATTTTTGATTAAGTTATTTTACCAGGACAAAATGGTTAAGTGTTACATTAAATCAAATATGATAAAATATTAAATGTATAAAAGTACACTTTTTATAGCTCTGTTATAATTGTTTGTAGTTTAAACATTATCTAGCGATAAGTTTGTTGATGATATAGAAAATTATTTCAATGGCATTTTTTTTATTTAGCCATGTTTTATAGTCATCATCATCTATTAAAGACAATGCTTTGTCGTTAAAGCCACTCCTCTCCGTTTGACACCAAATTCTTTAGTCAAATGTTTTAACGAATCTTTCAAGTATACCAATGCTCAGATGTTTATTGGTGAGAAGCTAATCCTTATTTTGAAATGCTTGCTTTGCCAATGCTATTCTTCTTCTGATGTCTGGTATTGATTAGTGATTGGAAGCTATAATACTTCCAAGGTAGCAGAATTCTTGGACCTATTGTAATCATTGTAGCATATTATTCATGTCATGTTCTGACTCTGCTAAGATAACAATGTCATCCTCAAAGCGAATACAGTATAAATGTTTACCATTTACTTTCACTCCATTGGTCTTGGTTTTCATTATATCTATGCTCATTTCAATGAAATGATTGAATAGATAGGGTAACATGGTCATCTTTGTCTCGCTCCTCTTTTTATTCTTGCTTCTTTTATCGATCCATTTACATTTGTTTCTGTTATTTGATCTATATATGAGTTGAAGATGAGCCGTCTATCATTCCCATGTATTATTTTTTCTCTTAATCATTAATAAGATTCTTTTTATCTTAATCCACTTAATCGAAAGCCTTCTATTATAATCTATAATAGATCTATGAATATTGCTATAGTATTTCTATTCAGTGTAATTCTTCTCTAACGGATGTGACTCAGTGCTAATATCGCTTCTCTTGTTCTTCACCCTTTCCTAAATCCAAATTGATCTTCCCATATATTTTGTTGTATGTGCTTTCTCAATCTGTTCTTGATAATGTTTAGAAGTATTTTTGAAGCGTGAAAAAGGAGCACAATAGTTCTATAGTTTCCACATTCCGTTGCATTGCTTTTCTTTGGAATTGTTATAGTTCTACTTTTGACAAAATCCAGTGGTAGACGTCCATTATTATAACTTTTTTTTATAATATAATGATTTGTTGTAGTCCTAAATACTTTCCTATAATTCATTCCATATTGCAAATATTTAACGTATACTTAATTATATGTATATACTTAATAATATTATTATTTTATTGTAATTTATTTATTTTCGGATTATAGATATATATTAATTGTATAAGTGAAATATAATAATTAATATTTTATTGATATTAAAATTAGTAATAAGGTGTTGACACGACTTATGTCTCAAAAATGTGGTCGACACTGGTTTTGAGGGTAGAGACCCATGAGCTGTTTATTAATGAGCAACAACAGGTTATTTTAACAAAAAAATAAAACAAACCGAAAAGATGAACACAATAATAATAATCTTCGCATAATATCGCGGCACTTTCGCTGGCGTCGACGACACGATATCCGGCGTGATCCTCGGGCGACAAAAGGTTAGCAGCGTTGATGGCGACGGTGCACGGGTTCGGATCGGTTCGTCGACATTATCACTTTCACAATGGGAAGAAAACTCCTGTCTCGTTTGCAGCGGGTGATCGTCGGCCGTTCGGCACTTGTTGGACTTTGCCAGTGGTGTATGGCACGCAATGTTGGCTAGCCAAATACTCATAGTAGGGTGACGGCTAATAAAGGTGGCATGAGTCGAGGGGCATCGTGTATAACGAAGCGACGAGGGGCCGTGTCAGTGTATAATTAAATTTTACAATATTGTATTTTTATAATATTGTAAACAATTTAAATCGTATTTTTTTACTCCTCTATTTTGCTATAATAACAAATTTTTGTAATACTATATCTTAACTTAAGTGTTTGATACATTCTGATAGTAAAGTATTCGTAAACACCTTTGTATGTGATTATGTTATATTAATAAACATTTGTTAAAACAGATCTATAACCTGCCAAGTGTGTATTAAGTAAGGCAAAGTTTAAGAGGTTTAATGAGTTGTATGATAGGCTAGGAACATATTAAGGGGAGAAAAAAGGTCTAAAGATTATCACTATGTAAGGTGTATAAAAAGTGTTGACAATAGGGAACTATCAAGTGATGATGATACAAAAAAAAAGTGAAAAGAGTATTTTAAAATATTACTGAATGAGGAATATCCAAAAGAGACATTAGAGGATATATCGTGGAATGAGAGACTGGTAGATTTAATTAGTGAGAAAGAGGAATGGGAAGCTGTAGCATCAATGAAAAAGAATAAAGCAGTAGGGCTAAATGAAGAACCAGTAGAAGTATGGAAAATATTAGGCGGTATTGGCATAAGGTGGTTAAAGAATTATTTAAATAAAATCTTATTAGAAGGAATAATCCCAAATGAATAGAAAAATAGCATTGTGGTGCCGATATTTAATGGTAAAGTAGACATACAGGAGTGAAAAATTATAGAGGCAAAAAGCTTATGAATTTATAATAGGATATAGGAAAATTTGGGAAAAGGTAATAGATAAAAGACATCGGTATCTAAAAACTAGTTTGGATTTATGCCTGGTAAGTCAACAATGGAGCCATTATTTTGTGTAGGGCAACTAATATAAAAGTTTAGGGAAAAGAAGAAAAAGCTGTGTATGATATTTATAGATTTGGAGAAAGCGTATGATAGAGTACCGAGGGAGGTTATAAAGTAGGCATTATTGAGAAAATGAATCCCGAAAAGGTATATTAATATAATATAGGATATGTATGATGGCAAGTGTACCAAGCAGAAAATGTAGGAGGAGTAACAGAAGGTTTTAGGGTAAAAGTAGGAGTGCACCAAGGTTCTGCTTTAAACCCTTACTTATTTTCTATAATGATGGATGAAATTACTAGAGAAATACAAGGAGAGGTACTGTGGTGCGTGTTGTTTGCTGACGATATAGTGTTAATAGGAGAAAATAGAAAGGAAATTAATCAAAAGCCAGAGGTATAGAGATCAGCTGTTGACGAAAAGGGTTTAAGAATAAATAGGAGTAAGATAGAGTATATAGAGTACGAGTTTGACAAAGAAGAACACTGAGTAGGAGAAATAAGGGTTCAGTGACAATAGGTGAGGACGTGATAGGAGAAGTAAAAAGTTTTAAGTATTTAGGATCAGTTGTGCAATAGAGCGGTGGTATTGATGCGGATGTAAGACACAGGATTAAGTGCGAGTGCTTAAAGTGGAGAGAATCGTCTGGTCTGTTATGCGTTAAAAGAATACCAATGAGGCGGAAAGGTAAATTCTCTAAGACTGTAGTGAGACCAGCTATGATGTATGGTTCATAGTGTTGAGCGATAGACATGAAAGTAGAGCAGAGATGAAAATGCTTAGACGGATGAGAGGAGTGACTAGAGTAGATAGGATAAGGAACGAACATATGAGAGGGAATATAGGTGTAGCGTCAATCGTAGATAAGATGAGAGAAAATAGACGTAGATGGTTTGGTTATATTATAAGGAGAGAGGAATCGGAAGCTGTAAGAACAGTTATAGAAATTAATTTTAAAGAATGAAGAAGTAGAGGAAGACCAAAAAAGAGATCTATTAAAAAATAGATGGTGGGATATAATTGAATTCGATATGATGACGGCTGATGCGAGCATACATGAAGTGGGAGATTGTGTCAAATGGATGTTTAGGATAAGGGTGGCTAACCCCAAGTAGTTGGAATTAAGACGACGAAAAGAAAGAAGAAGTTGACAAATTTTTAATGTTATATTATTAATTTTATTATATAAATATGTCATGTATAATAAAAAAAATTATTATTTTTGTAATGTATTTAAGTATATAAAATTGTTTTAGAAATGTAATTATAATATGTAAAAAATAATTTGTCTTTGCTGAAAAATTAGAAAAATTGAACATAAGTCTCATTGAATAAATGTCTTTTCAATTGTACTAAAACTACTTAATTTTATTAACGAGTCTTTTTTTTAATAAGTTCAAATTTTTTGATCTTATTTTTTATATAAAATAATATTACGTTTTAAAACTATTTCAAAAACGTTACCACTACCAAAAATTCTTTAAAAAAAAAAATAAATTGTAGATCTTAATTCCAATATGTTTTCTATTTGAGAAAAAAATGATGAGGTAAAATAAAAAATTTTAATACATCATAATTTTAATAATCTAAACTATAAAAAATTATAATTTATGTATTATTATTTTTTTTAAATAAGCAAAAAAAGTCCATTTAAGTTATTTCAATCGCCGCCATATGCAGTCTTCTTTTTTTCAATTTCGGTCTTCAAAGCGCAATGTAGTAATCGCTATTGATTGTTTTACCATGTTTGAGATAATCAATGAATATAATTCCAAGCGCATCCCAAAATATCAATACCATAATCTTGCCTGCTGATTGTTACATTTTAACCGCTTTGAAGCACTTTCACCGGGTCCAATTCACTCAGCTGCCGGTTGTTCCTATTCGAGAATGTAGTCGTGGATCCACGTTTTATCCATTGTCACTATTTCGTACGAGGCAGTTAGACCATAAAACGGCTAGCTGTGCACTGTTTTAGAATGCTGTCGTACCTTAAACCTGTTTAAATCACTATTATTGAACCGTGGATCGGTCATCTATTATCAGACAATAATTAAATATCAAATAATCACATGTATTAAAGGTTCTTCAATGAGTATTTTAAATTAAGGGGTAGTGGGGGGACAACCCCTCTAATAACCGGCGAAACGGCAATAACAAAATACCTAAACTCAAATAAAATAAAACTAAGCTGATTAGATGAAGCTGTTGATAGTGATAAGTGGACTGTATGAGATCTGGCGGT